AGACTTGATGTTCAGAGGAATGAATCAAGTTGCTGTGCTTCCATCCTTGCTATGGGGAGGAGCTGCTTGCATTAAGGGAGGTTAATGCTGGCAAGGTTTTGTGGGGAGAGAAGCAAATGGCAATTGCTTTTGTGCTGCTGTCTGGAAACTGTTCTACAGAGAAGCCAAATAAAAATGCATCCACAGAAGGTAAATGTGATTATAACTACAATGTGCATTTTTAATTTAGTTCTAAAAGAAAGAAAAAAATTAAAAATGCTCGTCATATTTAAACTAGTACAAAATAATTCAGTCAAAATAAGTCAGAACACAACTGACCAAATGCATTCATAACATGTTTGCAGTGCAGCACACACATCACCCAGGGATTTTGGTACCTGTCTTTGTGTGCTGTGCTGCAAACATAGATGTCATTAATCATTTACCTACAACACCCCATTCCCCATGGATGGCATCCCTCCAGCTGCTATGGGACTCTGCCTAATCCACAGTGGTAGATGCTGGCACTAAATGCAGTGGGCAGATTAATGCAGTGACAGGAACACCAACAATTAACTCCAAATAAGCACCCCAGGAGATGGCCAGGATAGTGGGGGTTCTGCTGCAGTCTCAGAGCTGTGCAGAAGGAACATGGGCAGTAGCTACTTATTTCAGTAAGTAAAACTAATTAATGCAGGAAAAACATTTAATTTTACAGGGCAGGTGGAAGGGGGAAAAGCCTTTCTACTGAAATAATTAGCATAGGAGGAGCTTGAAATAATAATGCTTTGGAACTGCTTCCTGATTTACTTACGAAATTCTTACTGATAGACTTGTTTATTTTTTATTTGGAAGAGCAACTCTTAACTGTAGCAGGTTGAGGGCTTTTCTTCCAAAAAGATCTACAGCTCTGGAGATTTAGCTTCAACTTTCTTTTTCACAGTGGATGCTGTGGGAAGTGATGGGAGGACCTTCAATAGGAGGTACAGTAAGAAACCTCTTCTGGCAAAGGCTCTTCTCCCAGCTTTCCCAGCAGCATCCTGAGGTCAGGGATGTGGGGCATGAGCCTTGTGTCCATTCTCTGCCTGGGGGTGTTGTGGGGAGCACAATCTCTGCTGCCAGGGAGAGTGCTGGGCTGGCTGTCACTGCAGAGCCTGCCCCAAGTGCTGCTTCCTCTTGTGGCACTTCTCGGGGAGCACTGGTCATGGTCACAAGGCAGCAGGGGTCTCCTCCATGGGACACAGATGGGGAAGAAATATGAAAATACAAGTTACAGTGATCTCTGGCAGAAAGCCAGCTAACTCTAGCATATTAAAAATGGAGTAACATCTGGGCTCTTATAACCTGGAATATGTTGCTCTACTTCTAGAAGTTTTGGAGTTTTTTTTGAGTTCTCCAAAACTTGTGTATGTTTAATTTTAACCACTGGTCATGTTCCATACAAGTCAAATCTGTAAAATGGGCAAAAATTGGTCCAAAATTCCAGTTCTGAATATTTCAAGTTAGAGGTTTTAAAGGATATCAAAGAAATAACCTTTTACAAAGCAAGATCCTTGCTTAAGATAGTTAACATTAGTGAATCCTTAACAAAACCTGAGCTGTAAGTATTTAAGTAAGTTACAAAGTATAAAGTTGTAAATTTAATCCAGTTACTCTTTCTAGAATGCATTAATTGGATAAAAATTACATAACTTTTAACTGAGATCTTTCCATATGAACTGCTGAAAAGTGCCTATAATTCAAATAAAATAATATCTCTCTTAAAAGAAATATTCTCCTTACAGTTAATGGGATGTACACAAGAGAGACTGTTTTGGAACTAGGGTGGAAATTATGTCCTGCATATCCATAGGTACACTAGAATATCATCACTTTTAGTAAGAAAGGCTTTTTAAAAAATGAAATAAAGTCATTCTTTTTCAGTAACCCTGTTTTAACTGTTCTTTAGTCCTTCTTCATGAATCTCACAGGTGTTGACAATGCTGCAAACCTCTGAATTTCTTTGTCTTTTCAATGCAGTGTAACTGTGCTAAATTGTTTCCTCTGAACCTACTCAGCAATTCCTGGATTGTTAAGGACAGCTGGGTTTTTTAATGTCATTTGTCTCAATAGTATCAAAGTTGGCTGTGCTGCAGAATTATTCATCTGAATTGTTTGCTTTTGGCAGTCAGGGCAAGTTGGCTGCTCAGCCTGTGTGAAGACAATGCAAGAATTATCTGACTTCATGCACTTGACCACTCATCTTCCTAAGGCTTGGATGCTGAAGCTGAAAAAAATGAAAATGCTTCTGAAACAAATTTTGGAAAATCTTCTGGTTTTTTCCTTGTAGTAAAAAATTTCTGAAAGACAACTCTATCTATCTTGGATGAGTGAAAAAGGGAGGATGCATTTTGGGTATAGATTTGATTTCAGATCCTCATCATCTGTCTGGCAGAAACCAGAGCATTAAGGTTTGCCTTTACTGGTGTGGTGACCAGCACTGTCCAATAAGTAAAGCAGCTTTGTAAATCAGAAGAATTCTCTGAAAAAAATAGTAAGTACACTTTTTGTAGTCAATAACAAGACTTCAGCCAGGAGCCTGGGTGTTTGAAATGTAGTAGGGAAACCCCTTTCCTAATTGTGACAACAGAAATGCTCTGCAGCTATTAGAAAGAAGGTAGCCAATAGTGTTCATGAACTTCTGCAAAAGACTGTTTATACTTTCTGATGCTTAAATTGTTTGGAGAGGAAATAGTTTTCTAATGTTTACAAACAGGAAGAAACTGTCCACAGTTAAATATTTTGTACTTGGCTTATAACTGTCAGAACAGTTTATTTACATACCTGGTTAACTGCAATAAATGGCTGCTTCACTTGATTCTGGTCTGTAAAATTCTTTTTGTGTAGGTTCAAATCTTTTCTATAGTTCATATAGAAAGGTTCTCACCATTAGAAGTACTCACCAAATCTGTTAGCAGGTTATGATGTTTGTCTTGCTTTGACATTAACTGGGTTAGATCAATGTATACCTTGTGTCTAGCTAAAATTATCTTTTTGCAGTCTTGTCTGAACAGCAAAGCCTGATAGAGCTAATGCCATCTAGTAAAAGCTCATTAGATTTTCCCTGTTCTTAGTATATTCATATTTTGAAGGCAAAAAATGGAGATTGCTGTCTTGGCAGTTCCCTGTGGCTTAATACCGTAGCTCGTGTGCCGGAAGACGTGCTAAGCCAAGGGTGAGGAAAAACCCCAGTGACGAAGGAAGTAATTTGACAGTGAGTCTTTCTTACAGCCTTTGTGTGTGTGAAATGCAGTCATAAGTCATGTGCTTATTCTGTATCTAGAGGACCTCTTCCAGACCTCCCACATTTTAACTGTGGAATCAGCATGTTCTGATTTGAGGGGTGTATAAATTTAAGGTCTGACTTGTAAGTTCCTAATGAGTGTTTTATTTCTCTGCTTCGGAAAAAAGAAAGACGACTTGAGCACACTCAGTTTCCCTAAGATGTAAAGTCTAAATTAAACCTCTTAATATTTATTAGACAAATCAATGGTTTGCTTAGTCTAACTGAAGTTTTATGGTACCATCCAGGCACATGTGTGTACACAGTACTCATGTAAACAATAGCAAGGGAAAATACAAGCAGTGTCTCACTTAGGCCTTATATAAAATCAGCTTAGTATAGCAAGTCAACTTTACAGTGCAAATCTGAATGAGAATAAACAGGATTCAAACTTCCAGAGTTTTGTTTTGAAGTTAAACTCTTAAAGCATAAGAGGAAGAGGTTTAAAATTTTAATGCAGTCCTGAGCACCACATAATTTTCTTCAATTTTGTAGAGGAAACATAATTAGCAACACCAGTCCCATGTTTTTGCCTGTCCCAGTCACCACAGCCGATATACATGTGCAGAGTGACTGTACAAAGGAGCCACACCATGGATGGTCCTAGAGCAGACAGCAATGAGCTAAATACATTTTACTATCTCCAGAAAATATCCTACCTGCAGTACAAACTCCAGGGTATCTATCAAAATCAGGTAACCTGGTCTATACAAGGCAAGTTACAGCTAAGTGTATAGACAGTAACTAAAGCTACTTCACTCTGACAACATCTCATGCAATTACCCTGCTGACAGTTAAATACAATGATAAACATGAGACAAGAAGCTGCTGAAGAGCACAGCTGTTGCAGTACTTAAGCTTATTCTCTCAATTTTCTCATTGTTTATATTCCCTTTACATCCAGGTGGTAACAGTTGCTTGAGGTGTGCTTGATTCATATGAAGAAAAATAGAATTTAAGGCATGTTTAGTATATTATGAAAAAACACTTAGTAAAAATATGTGGACTCCCTTCTTTCCATGTAAATATAATGTAGAAAATAAAGTGTAAATTACTGAAACTAGCTGAGCTAGCCCATTCTGACCTGGTGAAAGAAATAGAGGGCTCCTGTCAACCTCAGAGAAACAAGCTAACTCCATAAACAGCAAAGCAAAATCCACTCCAGAACACTGCTACTGCTTTTAGACCCTGCATTCATGTACACTTAGCGGTATTTCTCTTATATGCATCTCTAAAACATTTAATTCTATCCTTCTAGACAAAACACAATTAAGCAGCACTCATGGAAATTGTCAGTTATTGCAAATCTGCAAACACGACTTGTAATAGACACCTGATAGGGAACCAGAAGCATGAATCCAAATCTTCCTGTCAATGTGGTTAAGGTAATGAAGAGAAACAAATCTATGTTGAAAACATAATTAACTCTTGCAAAGAATCGGCTCTGATATTTCAGGTACTTAGCATGTTTTGACCAGGAATACAAGCAGAGACTGTGCCAGTGTGTTATGTAGTGTAATATGAACAGCTGAGGTATAATCTGTAAGCAGTTGCCATAAATATGCACAAGTATTCTTTAGAGAGGTTGTGGGCTGTAGAACAGCAGAAGTCTGCCTTAACAGGACAGCACCTGTCCCCTGCTGTACACAAACCTCTACTGCTGACAAAGAAAGTCCAGAAAGTGTGTTAGATATATATCAAGAATATATATGTTCAATACCATAGTGAAATTATCCTTTTGGTTAATACTATAGATCCTGTTAGTATTTGGATATACACATACAGCAATATGCACATCCAGAAGTAAATCTTCAAAAGCCATTTTAAAAAAATAAAAGGTAAATTAGGAATAAGCTACATTGCAAGAAGCTTCCTGCAGGTTTATATATTTAAGGTAATAATTTTTGAACTAAGACTTAATATAGCTACTGCATTACAAAATGGCTTGCTGTGAAATTGTAATCTCACTTTTTGCCCACCCAGTCAGACACATCTCGGGATTGTGATTCAATGATTGTTTAGCAGCATTTTTAGAGAACTGTAAATTCTTTTATTAACAGGCATTATAAACAGATACTACTAGTTTTATTTAAAAACCATGAGTGCCACATTGATGAATATACAGCTTATGAATAACTTAGAAGTATTTCCCATATTAAAAGGCAATGCACACAGCATACAAAAAGTATACTAAACAAAGCTATGAGGATACGTGATTGAAGTGTCTAAAGTGATATATACAGTACATAATTAATGTTTTGTTTATATTCAGTACAGGATTCTGTACTGCTCTTCCCATTATGCCTCACTTTCCCCTGACACTGAATTTTGCACTTCTTCTTCCAAAATTGGTACAATCAGGTTATCCTTGGACATCAGGTTATACTTCATCACAAACTTAGTGAACCGGTGACACAAGAAAGTTTCATTCTGGAGGTGAAAAGAAGGGGAAAAAACAATATGCACAGAAGGATTATTTTAAACCATTGTGAGGAACATGCTTAACAGAAAGCCTGCTTCTACCTAATTGTCTCGTTAGATTTACAGGTCTAGTCATGCTTAAATAGTAAATTTATACTGCTTCTTTTGTGTCTTTACTGGTTGCTTATAGTTACTCCAAATACTAAGAAACCTACTGAAATTGAGGCTTCAGTCACAGCTCAATTTAACAGCACTTAGTGTGTATAGGAGGAATTTCAGAACCATAGTTTTAAATATATAAATATCTTCTTGTCTATTTCCAACACAACAGGGTACAGTCACTTGATAGGTGTTCCAGAAACCTTAAGTGGGATTTGGCAGAGGTTTCTTTTTATATTTAGCTGTACCTCTTATCTCCTTTCTATCAATTAATTTCTACTTTCCCATCTAAAAAAAAAAAGGTTACTGGTGATGCACAAGTTGCCCTTAATTACTCTGATCCTTTACAGTTACACAATTATAATTACTTAACTGTTGTTCAACATGCCAACAAGAAATACACAGATGTAAGCAATACTAACTGCACTCAGAGCTTGAATACATTCAGGATTCTTAAATAAAAGATGAATTTTAGCTGTCTGTAAAATAAAATCAAATTCTGGATTTTTATCTAAATTAAGGGAAACCATAACTGAGTACACTCATCACATAAATGAATTTTCATGTGTATATGTAAGTATAAAAGCTTTTCAGTTCTTTATCTTCTAATAGGACTAAAACATTTTATACAACTCCATCACAGTTGTAACTTCAGTAAACGCCCTGCTTTCAACATGTAATTTCAAACTACTTACTTCATATTCATCAAATATCTGCCGGTGATGAAAATAAGCGTGTGAAAATATTCTGTAAATCCTTCGGCACACTGATCCTAATTTGGCTACAGAGGATTCCTTTATGCTAACCCTGTAAGCAGCAGGAGAAAGGTTACACAACTGCTCTAATGAAATGACTACTGCGATGTGTTGACATAAATTTTGATTTCTAAAACTATTCTGTGTAATTGCATATGAAATTTAGACTTGATGCAAGCTCCATATTTACAAATTGTACTCTAACTACAAAAAAAGTTCTGCCTGTAGTAATCATAATTAATTATTCTGGTAAAGGCTGGATTTCTGGTTTCTAGGGTTTATGGGCAAAGAAAAAACTTCCAGTTGCACCTCCTTGTTTATACTGAATTCATAGATAAGCACAATTTTGACTTCTGCAGGGAGTTTTCTCTGATGTGACCTGCCCATTCAGTAGCCTGTCTCTTGTCTTCTGTGATTGCCATGTCCCACAGTAGGCTGGTGCTGGCTTCTGCAGGATGTTTGTGCTGTCTCTTGAAGGCCTTTAAGGTACAGCATCTGTCCAAAGGCATTCCTCCTGTTTCAGTGGGCACTGAATGGAGACCCTGTACCACTAACAGATATTGCTTATACAGTTTTTACCTAAAAAGCATCCCTTAGCTCAAATAAATGGCAAACTATTTGAATAAGTCAGAATTCTTCCTTGGCTTTCAAGTGGCAATAGGCCTCCCAAGAGATCTTTGACAGTATGAATAGTAGTCCATGAAAAATGCATTACACCTCTCCCTGGGCTTTGTCACTGTCTTAAGCTCCAACCTCCTCCCTCTTCCCCAAGAGAAAATATTTTTACCTGCTGGGGAAATATTTATTGCTATTCAGAAGACATGCAGCTCCATCAAGTGTGTGCCTGGTGTAGTCTATAGCAGGACACTACAGAAACAGACAATGAGTGAGCACATGCATCACATTGTCAGAACTTATTTAAAATCAAACATTTTATTGTATTTCCTGATGCTTGCAACTTCACTCATCATTTTTATTCCCAGAAGTTTCATGTAGCTTGTCTAAAGGTCTAACTACATTTCCTCCTTAAATGAGTAATTTCTTTTCTCCACTTCACAACCCATGTAAATTATTTCAAGAAAAAAAGTTACTATGGCAATGCCATTATGCACATGAATAGTGAAATTTATGCCTCTCCTTGAGCAAAGCTCAACAAAAATACATGCTAGGAGTACACTAAAAGCAAAGATGATTGTTACCTCACAGTTCATTTGTTTCCCACACAGTCAAGTTGCCAGACTTGCTCTTTTACAGGCTCTGAAACCAAACCTGCACCTTAATCTATCAGTGTTTTTTACTCTGGCAAAGAAAACTAAACTCATACATGTAACTAAGTGTGTAACAAGCCATCCCTGGCTCTGCAATCAAATACATCTAAAGGAAGAAAGTAAAGGTGAACTGAGGCAGACTGAGAGAAGGAATGTCTGTCCATTGTCCATCCACCAATTTCAGGAAAAAGACTTGTCAGTTGTACATTTCTCTCAGCAGTTCAGGCTTCCATCACCCCTATCTGACCATGAGTTGGTAGCTACTGCCACAGAAAACAAGAGATGAATGCCACATGCTCAAAGATAAAAAGAAGCCTGAAGTTCTCCAGTCTAGCTGAGGACAACACTACCAAACATGCCAAGATGCTGAGTAGGGATAGGGGTTAAAGGAGGGAGTGGGAAGTTGGCTAAATCAAAATATCTCAGGAAAGTAAAGGCAGAACAAAACAAGAAAAAAAATCTTACAGGACAGAAAAGGTAAGGTTAAAAAAAACCAATACCTTATTCTGGAAGGTGAAATACAAAGATTAATATGACAAACTGCAATACCATCATAACCAAAAGCGACAAAGACTTTCTGAAAGCAAAAAAAAAAAGTATCAAGTGGTTCAACAGAGTAGCTGAACGAAGTTTAAACTAGCTGGACAAGGAGGAAGACAGGCTAATGGCATGCTGATAAACACACTTGACTAGAAGCATTTTTATGACTCTACCACCTTTTTGGATTAACTGCCCTAAGAATGAGCACATGCAGTCACATTTGGAGTGTCAGGCTTACACTGTGGACCAAGGCAAACATTTGACGATAACAGCCTATTCTCAGCATGGACTCTTCTATCAGTTAAACAAAGAGCTTTTCTCCACTGAGTTTCAGGCAGGCTCAACACCAACCCAGAGAGAAAATACTGCAAAGCTGCTAATACCCAAGGTAAAAAAGCAGTTCCTGTTACCTCATCCTGTTCCATCTGTAAAACACTACAGAGCAGCAAAGAAGAGTAGCTCAAGTGATATTCTTAACCCACATACGCTCTCAGTTTGACTAAGAAGCCACCTCTAACAGGCTCCCCATGAACATATGAACTGTGAAAAAAAATTCCTGCAACACTGGAGTCAGTTTTCCAAAATACATTCATACCTCTTTGGGAGTTTTATGAGCTGCACAAAGAAAAATCCACTGTTCAGTTGCTGTCATCTGAGTACATGTGTCAGGGTGACATTCACTCTGTTAAAAGCAATTGTTTAGTTAAGAAAAAAACACAGCAGCAAAAGGAGCAGATCATTTCAAATTCCTTGCCCTGTCCATCCCCCAAAAGATTTATTTGCCATAAGCCTTTAAAATCTTACAAAACCTCCAACCACTGCTTATCCCTGTGTATATATATTTAGAAGAATACGCTGCAATCTACGCAAAAGTCTCCTCCCTGTATAAGTCTCAAGAGAATAATTACCTGAAGCTTGACAGCTAGTCCATTGAGCTCAAGGCAGAATTGTCTAAAAGAAATTGAACACAGCAGCATCAAAATCAGCTATTTGCTTCCCCACTGCAAGTATCTCATAAAAAGCAGGTTAGACATTCTGATCTTCATACCAGATTTTTCTTTACTCAGCTAAACAATTTATATTTTAATTCTTCAGTGGCAGCAGAGGCTGAGTTTAATATATCATTTAGTGGAAGTGTTTTAAGATACCAACTTTGTTATGAAAGATAGCACTATTTCATAAATAAAGATTAAAAAAATTAAAAGAAGTCAAGAAAATTCATTTTAGAGTCTGTTAAGCTCATATTGCTGGATTGTTCCATCCTTCTAAGATGTACTTCAAATCAAAGTCCCACCTCAGCTCATTAACAGAGTGAGACCTCTGGAATACTGCTTTCACTGGAGTGTATCTGACAGTGTATTCTTGAACTTTACAGAATTCAGCCCTCCGTCCTACAAGAAAATCTAAATAAATTTTCCAAAACTCACAAGTCATAGTGATAAGTCACTTTTACAAATCTAAAATTTCTTGGGAGGTATGTGAAAGGACAGAAGGAATTCTTAAAATATGACTTTGCAACTGTACGTAGATACTTTTTCCTTTCTTGAGGATTCCCTGTTGTCTATTGGAATTATTGCAGACCAGAGGAAAGAAAATGTGAGGCAAAAACCCAAGGTGTCTGAAGGTAGGAGGAGCTTAGAACTGTTCTTATTCCAGACTGTACTCAATAAAGTGAGAAGAGATGTTTATAAGAAAAATAAAAAATAAAAATCAGGACAAAGGGATTACTACATATGTACTAATAACAACACTACAAATGAAAAATACTTTAAGGCACAACCTTCCAAGGCTGAATGTATATATTATACTAAAATTAAAAAAGAAAAAAGAAATAAAATGGACAAAAAGGTTTGTTTCCATACAAGCAGAAAAATTACTGTAATACTCAGGTACTCTTGCTGTCCCTGCCTATTTGCTTGCAAGTTTCAGAAAAAGCACTGGGAACATCCAGAAATCATCCATAAATCACATTACTCTTTAGTGGAGATGAAGAGCTGGCAATACTATGAGAAAGTGTTAAGGAAATTCATGACTGTATCTTCATATTCAAGAAGTGAGGTACAAATATTTTCTTTAAAAAACTTTAAGATCAGAGCACTTTATAAATCTTCAGAAATAGCATGGAATTAAAAAATAAAACCAATATTTAACAGTGGAAAAATCAAGTTTCATTTAAGTTAGTTTTGATTTGTCACATTAAGGTAGATTCACTACCAGCATCAATGAACAAAACTTAGAATCAAGACAGAATGTTGACAAAAGGTTGATTTTTACCTTAAATGTTCATACTTCCATACACCTTCATCCTGGCCTTCAGGTGGTTCAAGGATCTTATCAATGTTGGAACAATCTGCCCTTATGTTTTGTTGAATATACTGGGGGGTGAGTAGAAATAAAACTAAATCTTGTTGTAATTACAGTAAGACAGTATACTTAGAACATTGCATCTTGGAGGGGTTTCATTTTTACTTAAATGATTGACAGACTAAAAAGTTCAAAAGTAGATGGGCAGGGTAAGGAAATTGGTATTAAAAATGCCAGATCTGAAAAATGCCTTTCTTCAATTACAACAGGTAAAAGAATGAGAAACCCCCACCACTTTCTTAAATCTGATTTGTTTAAACCAGATATGGGAATTGATGTTATTTCTACAAACAAAAGTAACTATTCATTTGTTCATATACATAGGTGCTTAGGAAATTCACTGCTGCACAGCAACACCCTAAGCAGATAAATATCAAGCCCTGTTCCATTTTATATACCAGAACACAAAACCTGGGAAACTGCACTCATTAACAACATTTCATGTAAGCAAGAATACCTGCTGGACAGCTAATGTACTATCCATTTCTTCAAAGGATTCATCAGGCCAGTTGTAGAAATCCTGTTTTGAAAAAAAGAAACTTTAATGCAATGTAACAAAACCAAAGGGGGAGGAAGAAAGGCGCACAGCCTACAATAAGCCTGAGCATGCAGGAAAATAGATGGAGTTTATACAATTCCAGGAAGCTGCATCTGAACAGAAGCAGCACTGAGTCCTGGCAGGAAGAGGGTGAGATGGGGTTTACACTCCCAGCACTGCAATAGCAGCATACCTTGAAAAGCTCTGCATGACTCGGCATGCGAACACACCCTGCTGTAACACCCAGAGCCTGCATTTTTTACATTAAATACAGCACACAGCACCCACTGCAGGTGTTAGACTAGGTAGCAGTGGGGAAGAAGAGGTCTGTAGAGAGCAGCAGCATACACTGGTTATGAAACTAATACTCCCAATGGTGACACAGCAAGAAAAACACCTCTGACTTGAGATCACGCAACACCGTGCTGGCCCAACCTGGTACCACATTCCCACCTTACCCCTGGTAAGGTCATTATGCCTTAATTAATTCATCTGGATGCTTACCAACCTTGTTAATGATAAAGCCTTCCTGAAGTTTCACCTCAGAACCAGCTGCACCTGTGTTCTGCAGCAATCCACATGTGCTGCACTCACGATCATCACAACCATAGGCATTTTCTTACTATGCATTTTTCACATCTAAAATTTGGTGCTACTCCCTCATATCATGCAAAGATGCTGCACATCGGCTTGCTGATCCCAATAGGTGCAGTGATTCTATGAAAATGTCCCAACTGCAGTGCTCAGCAATCTATTCCTGAGAGAGTAAGTCAGCTCTGGAAAATATACCTCAAGTGCATATCCACTGTTGAAATATTATTACCCAATTGTATTTGCAAACTGAATAGCTATACCGGTGCCATCCAAAATAAAACATTAAATACAGCCACACACAACAGAAAAACATCTCTATGGCGAGAAATTACCACAATTATAAACAAAACTCTTAAATCTACTTCATAATATTTGACCAAACCCAGGTCTATGTCCAGCTGTTTTTCAGAATACTCCATATTTATCAAAGGCACACAACATTCCATCTCCTTCACATATTAAACATGCATAGAATGACCTGATTTACAGGATTGTGTAATAATTTTACCACTATGCTATGACAAAGAACAGGAGGAGACACGTGTCATACACTGCTCCTTTCCCACCCTGAGTTCTCCTCACAAAAGCAGAGGGGAAAGTCTCACATAAAGGTCTGACAGATCACCTCTCTGAAATAATCTAAAAAAATGCCATTTCCGTCATTGAAGCACGCCTTTTCCAGCTGACCGTGGAACTCCAGAAACAAATTAATTCAATTTTGATTAAGAGAAGCGATGTGACAGCAGCATTTTCTTGCTTGTAGTTACGTAAGGGAAAGATGATTTCCCTCTCGGATGGGCAGGCAGGTGCGGCCGCCCGGACGGTGCCGAGCTCCCACCCGGAGCCATGTGCGGGGCCATGAGCTCGCTCCCGGAGCGCGCTATCGGGGTTTCCACAGCAGCAGCAACGCCTGACAGTACCGGGGAGCCGCCCTGCCTGCACCAACCTGCGCAGCGCTCACGCCCGGCTGTCACAGGTGTTCTCCGGCCCGGCCGAGGCCCCGCGCTGCGGGACGCGGCCCCTCCCT